GATTACAAATTTAAAGGTATGGAGGTCCTCATGGATATAGATAAGGGACCCACCACTTGGGCTAGTGATGCATCCAGTACAGAAAGTTCTGTAACCCGGGATGTGAAGAGGCGTGTCAGGCGCACTGGAGGAGTGTCATGTTTCGGTAATGAGCACCACCTGTGGACGAGACAGAAAGATAAAGGGACCTAATAAGTGTATCGTATGTTTTATTAACTGAGCGCTAATGAGAAGCGCTGTAACAAGTTCACGGCTGGATATAGATGCAGTAAGGATACCAAGTTCAATATTACTACGTTAATCCACCCTCGGTGGCTCCCTGCATCTTCCAAGGTTTGTAGATCTTGATGCTGTTCACAAAGCAAGGGCATTGTATACATCTGCAGCTGCGGCAGGTGACAAAGGCATGAACGAGGCGTTAGAGGAGTAACAGTACTAAGCGGATTGTAGACAGTCGTGTGATGAGACTATGATGGACTGGTGGTACATGCGTGTTTAGTGTCATCGCAGGACTTCTTATGTACAGTAGCGGAATGGGCAGGAAACAATTTGCGGCAGATTGAAACATATAGAATTTGGAATAGATGGTATATGTCACATGTGCTCTCCCTTTGGCATAGATGTGCCGAGTCGCAAATCATCATATTCAATAAAAAAAGGTCTGGGATAGATGCCCCAAGTTGTTATGAGGGAAGAGAAGCCAATGGATACCGAGTGAGACAGTCGAAATCTGTTAGTCAATTTAGCTCGCGATTGCTCATTGAGAGAGGATCGATGTTGTTGAGCAGTAGGGTACTAGTTGCGATTTGGCGCGTTCGGTGTATTCAGTAGATACGGGCGTCATGGTGATTGCGTGGCTTGGGAAGGCATGCATTGGGAAGCTACGGTGGTCTGTATTCTCATAGATATCTGCTGGCTGGTGGCTATGTAGATTTCACTTCTGGAGTCAAACATCGATTTTCATAGTGCCGGTGTCGAGCGTAAATGTGAGGATATGGAGGCAGGGATGTCTTAAGTCTTTTAGGTAACTTTTACCTGTGGCGAACAGGTGGATGGAAGAGAATTTTGTGACTGAACATCATGAGATTCAGTAGCAACATGAAGCGGGACGCCATTGATCTCAAGCTCATTGTTCGCATGCTGCATGTTGGGGCCCCCCGTTTTGAGCAACAAATGTGCTCATCACATTAATAGCAACGTTAGCAAGGAATGGGACGAACTTTGCAGGGTGGAAGACATCCTGCGTAGTCGTTCGAGACACAACCTTTGTTTTCTTGCGGATGAAATTATTTGTGTGGGGGTTGAGTCTAGGTCTACGCCTGACGTTATGGTCAGGCTAGTAGAAGTTGCACTCTGTGGCACAGAGCGTCTATGTTGCTCGGCAGGAGCGGCACATGAAGATAGAATGGTTTTCTGCAGAGGCGTCTTATTAGGTTTAACTAGGATCTGGTCTAGGTCAGCCTAAGCTCTCAGGTTAAACCTGTTAGCTAAAATCATTTCGGCTAATTCTCGATGATGACGATGAGGCAGGTTCGCCCCGACGCCGTATTCCCCAGTCGCTTGCAGATGTAACCGTCCAGTGGCATGTTGCACACGAATAATAGTATGCCGTTAACTCTGTCAAGAGCCAAGCGGTCCGCAACATCGAGGTCGCGTTAAAAGCACTACGAGCACGCTCACTTACTTCGTTAGCAATAGTTGCGAGGAGCGCGCCGGCCGCTTTCAACCTACTGGGACTATCGGATTTGCAAATATCCGACAGCTGGACTAGTGGCATAATATTTGCCAAGTTCCAGTAGTAGAACCAGATCACTTTTTAGGATATTTAATTCGCTTTCAAGGGAGTTAATTCGAACAAACATTCCGGTCAATTAATCGGGAAGAACGGTTTTGCACCCCTCCATCAAAGTTGAGTGTGCCTTTGCTGCTGACACTGGCAGTCGTAGCCGTTTCCATGGTCTTAAGACCACGACCGTTAAGTTCAGCTCCTATGATAGATAGAATGGAGATACAATGATATAAATACGATAGGGTCAAAATTACGCAAAACTGACCAACCCTGATACTTTACTGGTGTGGAGAGAAATAGGTACATGAACACAGGGGTCAGGAGAGGGAAAAACGAAGTGTTGGTAAGAAAGTGTTGCTTTTTAGTAAGAATGAGCTAATAATGAATTCATGTTAGATTCTAATAGAAGCCAAGTGACCGTATGAACGGAGAAAAGAATTTCACGCACCGTGCTAACTGGGATAAACACAAGATAATGAATGAAAGATAATGGAAGTGAAAGTGGTGGAGAGTCTTCACTGATTCAATTTACTCGAACGGAAGTTAAAATGATCGATTCAGGCGATGAGAGTCTGTGTAGTCAATGAAAACTGACCTAGAATGACCCCACTTGACAGAGTTCGCTGACCTCTTCATGAAACTGTTGATCTGAGCAATTTCAAATGCTGGATGTTTCGCCATGCGATATTTAACAAAGCCCCAACAGAACCGCGTGGGCAAAATTACTGCTATGTGCTCGCGCCAGTCGCATCAGTTATTCGTGAGAGTATATTATCTTTATGCCCTGAATCTCTACTGTCAATACGATGCGCTAGCTCGGTGAATTCGTTTCCTCACCGTTACAAAGCAATCGGCAACCAGCGTATTCCCCATCGGCCGCCATTAGTGAACCAGACCCTTTCATGACAATCTTCAGCATAACGCTAAAACGCAACAAGCCACAAAAATGGACCGCGGAAAATGTGTGATCCGGAAGGAAAGCGAAGTGGAAAGGGGGAGTGGGAGTGGGCTTAGGGTACTATTTTACACATTGCGTTATGATCAGCCCGTAACTTAGCGTATGGGAAGACCACATGAAAACCAAGAGTCAAGAGTGGGCAAGTTAAACGGATCCCCGATCGACGGTTGGCTTGTGTCACACGAAGGGATAATTGTTAAGCCAGACGGAAGATAGAGTTGTGGATAAGATGGTCATTTGCGTTACAGTTAGCCGCAAAAAAATACCGCAACAGGACGTGCGAGGCACTCCGAGTCATATGAACACAGGATCCAAATTATCAACCAATAATTACGGCAGACGGACGCACGCGTTTAGGGTCCAGCCATGCACATAATTTGGGTTCACTGATCCATTCGTTAAGAGGTGCAGCTCCTAACAATAATGACAGGTGATGAATAAGAGGCAATCCCAAGTGACATTAACAAGCTATACGGTAAAAAAATGTGAATGTCAATGTGGGCCTGAAATTTCGTGGAATTGACCACTTCGCGCATGGTCAGATTCAAGATAAAAGGCGTATGAAATAACTAGGGACAGCACAGTCAATCTTTCCTCGCTGATATTAGACCGACAGAAACCATTGGTGTGTCATACCCGGTTGATCGGAGAACCCAGTTATTGAGTAGTGCCCGCGTGTTAAAATAAGCAGACAGTCAGTGCAGTGTTGCTTACGGACAGGGAAGATTAATTAGAGGTGGGAGTTGGAGGACGAAATCAATGACTAGGTTAGCCAAAGCCTATGGTGTTGACAAAAGTGAAGGAAAAGCCGATTCCAGGGGACGCTTGTTCTATAACGTGACGAACAAGCCGCCGCAAACACAGTTGAGTAGAGTGCAGCCGGAATGGTGGAAAGGTGATCCATGGGGTAAGGCGGTGTTAGCACCATCACGATGGTGTGTGTGAAAAAAGGATTAGCGCGTTCGATTCCAACATCGGCTGTTGACTCAGTGGGGAGGAGAAAAGGGAAAATTTTTTGGGGAAGTAAAAGTGGCCAGCGGATAAGGTATACTAGGTACAAAACACAATGTGGGCATGGGAAAATTACACAATGCAGAAAAGAAAGCGGGTAATTTGCATGTCGGTGTGTGAATAACCAATCGATCAGTACACACTAAGTGGTCGACATGTGGGACGCGCGTGCTACAGTACTGCTTGAGAACAAGTGTCTATCATCGTAAAACAAATAACAAGGTTGAGATGAGTTGGGGTGGGTGAGACAGGCGACGAGGAAGGATGGCTAACTTGCCGCGATAAAAATCAAGGATCCGATAATACAGCGAAGGGGTAGTCACTCTGAAATAACCCAAAAACACTGCTGGAAGTACCCGATAAGGTACGGAGTTGAAGGTAACGGAGACATCCGACTGCACGCAAATGGTCAGTACGGCGCGACATATAAGAAGGCTACGGTGGTACAGTTGTGGAAACACGTAAAATATTTGTACAAGTTCAGAGCTTGATGAAGATCGGCCATTAGCTTCACAGTCGTAACTCAAGCAAATCGATGCGTAGTTAAGCCACGAAGCTGTCTGTTCACGCAAACTTATGCAGTTCAAATGGAACCATAATTTTTGGACGCGTAGCGCAGAGGAAAGGAAGGAATAAGCAAGAGAAAACAAATTGGTTTGCACTCTGTGTATGAGGAGCAGAACAGAATGACTGTAGCTAGTGTATAGATCCAGGAGTTTCAAACAAAGAGGATTTACGCATACTCTACGGACAGCAGTTTTTAACATTGAAAATGCAAACAGGAACCTACTAGATAACAGGAAATAAAGGACTGTAACGAGAACATTGTCAATCGGCGTGATATGTCAGATAGTTTCTTGGATGGAGTTTGTCGCGTTGTCGTTACCATTTATACACAGAGGTAGAGAACGGAAAATCCTGTAGCCAGTAGGCCCAGCTACCATTAAGAATGCGCATAGGTCCATGAACAAGCACAGTAATATCATCAAAATTGCAGATCCAATTGCACTTGATGATTTTCAAAACCTTACAATGAAATCCAGTAGATTTCGACGATAGTGGTTGTGGCACGCAAACAGAAAGCTGTTTTCAAATGCAGCTATGAAGCTGTAACAGCTTTTCTTCGGCGCCATGGGTGATGACTTGACGGCACATCCATTAAGGGACGTGGGAGAAAAGGTGAAAAACAAGCATCCCTCTCAGTGAGGTTGATCAAGCCGCTGAATGCCATCAGAAACTCACCGGTAAAACCCGAAGCGACAAGAATGCAGAACATGGTCCGGGAACGAAGCAGAGCGAATGATCGAACTGTAATGAAGGACAAAGGACACATGTTTTGTCCTACTCCAAGAGTAAGCATGCAAAACAGAACGAAAATAAGGTTCCACACGCGTAATAGGCAAGCACACGGTTGGCGGCATCCGGTTTCGGATTTGCCTGTCACTGTGGCCAGCCACAGGACGCCTGCGCCTACAGAGGGATGATGGGTGGCTTGCACTGCACCACTCACAGCTCCAGTGTAAACCCGAAGGAATAAAACAAGAAGGCATGTGGATGGGAGCCACGTTTCATCAATGAAGCCGGCCCACACTCCTTCACAGGCAAACACAAACACGATGTATTTGGGGAATCAAGTGCACAGAACGCGTTGGCTGAACCGTAGTCCGCTCCACACTGAGTGCATGGAACCGCTCTTCGAGCCTAGCACGACCACAAGGACCGTGCACCCCGTCCCCTCCAGCAACGACCAACTGTCTCCTGGAGTCAGTATGGACGAGGTAGTAGGTATTAGACAGGTAGGTACCTTGTCAACATGCACATCAAGCGCAGCTACACCTGGGATGTCAAGCAACAGCCAATCACTTGTAATGACATTATCAAATAAAATATATCTGTTAAAGAATACGGCTATGCTGACGTAACTCTTCCCTAAATTAGCATATGAAGTAAGTTGGTTAGCAACGAACTTGCGATAAGTACAAAATGTCCAGAAGTTACTCGAAAAATGCTACAAACGCAATTAAGTTAAAGGAGATAAAAGCAATTAGCGTAAGCAACGTGGCCAGTTAATAGATTATTCAGGGAGGCATAACAAAGCAAATAAAGTGGAATGAAAGGTATCCATCTTAAAATGATCTAGTTGAAGTGTAAGTTGCTTTAGCCCAACTGCAATGAAGAAGCATCAAGAATGCAACAACAGCCTCAGCATGGGACACTAGGCACCCAGGCACACACACACACACACACACCAGTCGCACAACCACAGTTAATGGGGTCGAGAAGGATCGTGGTGTTCAATACCTCCGAATACGCTTGGAACTGACTGGGATCTCATGACCTCATAAGCTTTTGAACATAAATCGGTTTTTGTAGGTTTTTATTGTGGCAATGTTTCGCTCATGACGCAAGAGCGAATAAGCTTCAAGTGGCCTAAGTTACAGCCCCAGGGAGTCGGTTTTACGGATAGCCGTATTAATTCTGTTGTGCTTGCTTCAATAACAACTTTCATCCTGCTTTTAAATTCTTCTTCTTACCATTTCTACCAACTGAGCTCCTCATAAACCTGATTTTGAACTCATCCGGAAAAGTGAAATAGCGTGCACTTTGAGACCATGCTGTACCATATGATCAGTAGAGGTAGTTGGACCGTGACTAGCACAGTCGAGAAATATACATTTTCATCCAACAAAGTCGCTGTCTGAAATCATACTGCCGAAATTGCTACGCGCACAAGAGGTGCACCAGCAGTTATCTTAACCAAAGAGGAAGGTAGAAATGCAGAGTAGGACTCACGAAACGTTTTTGTTGCTGTGTTGAAGTATCCCAATGTGTTGGAATGGCTGTAAGTCAAAAAAGGGAGAGGCGGGGGATAACCGAACCGAAAGCGTTGCAGAAGACTCTAAGAAAATGTAGTTAACAATAGCAGGTTAGTTCGTAGCCTCATCATACAGTGGCAGGAGCGATTGATTGAGTAGTGCGTGGGCACACCAATGTCAGCTATCAGAACACTCATGCAAGAGGCATTATGTGAGTGGAAGGCTGCCCACGATTAGACCAATCGCAGCTGTCCATGGGACTTGTAAAGAAATCTATACTGTGAAATTCCTATATAATGGATCGAGTAGGGAGATGAGAAGTTTTCACAAAGTTTGTCAATAGGTATCGGATGGGTAATAATCGCTCAAGTACGCATTATCCCCTAATTTAGTGACCACAATAAGTGGTTGTTTACTCTAATTAAATGGATTCACTTAAGTGACCAATCGCTACAGCACGCGGACAATAAAACTCGCTTTTGAACCGACAGACCTCAGGCAAGCATTGCTGAGTAGGCTAATGCGAACCGCGACAAACTTCCCTATGCGTTGCACATCATCAAAGTTGGGCTAGCGCACAGAGCCGATGGGCCATTGGTTCCAAATGTCAGCAAAATACCAATGGAAATGACAAAGTCTCTAATCCATCTAGGCGGTTATATCACGTTTGATGAAAGAACCGTCAAAAAGTCCAGTGTGTGCATCGGCACCGCCCAGTGGATCCCAATCGTCTAGGCATACAGCTAAAAGCCAGCTTGTCGTTCAGGAGCAAGTTGCACAACATCGATCTGAATGAATCAGAAACAAGACCGCTGTAAGCTGAGATTACGTGTGTACGAAGCATTACTCGTAGGTGGCAAAATCAGTAAAGGGATTATCTAGTTCCGCCGGTAGGCTTTTGAAAACATCCCTCCTGGCATCAAAAAGCAAGCCCTATACTGATATTGTGTGACGGCTAGAGGATGGGTCGCATGTCCATGACTTCCTATTTCTGTGTGGAACATTAGCCGATGCTGAGACCTAATCGGGTGAAACGGTAGTGGCCCCTGAATGAAATGGTAACCTTTCAAGAAGGATTCCACAGAAACATCTGGTGGAGATTCTGTGCGTCACCTTCCTAGATGGGGGACTTGTGAATCGCCAAAACAGCAGCGAAAGCCGATGTAAGCAGGCATTCGGTCTTGTGGTTCAGGCTGACGACATTGCCCTCATCTGTGACAGTTCACAAACGTGCCAAACTGCACTGGACAGATTGGCACTGGCTGTCAGCCGTTTCGGGCTGTTTTGCACCCTCGAAGTACAAAACGTTCCTCCAAGTTTGGTAGGAAGCACCTACTGCGCTGACCCGTGATGGGGATCAAGTAGAATTGGTTCAAAAATTCAACCATTTAGGCAGTTGTATCATCGCCTGTGGAATTGAGAACGAGGTCACAAACCGTATAGCAAAAGTTCGAGACGCTTTCGTTAACCTTCAACGTCTATGGCGCGGACGCAACACCGCTCTCGCTCTGAAGGTAGAGTTTACAATGTTCGACTCTACTGTACGTTTGTGAAATCTGGCCCACTAGATAGGCAGACATAAAGATGCTAGTTACGTATGTCCACCGATACCTTCGTAGTTTGGCTCATATCTGGTGGAAACACCGTGTAATCAATGAGCGGTTCGGCACCTTGTTTATGGCACAGGAAGAGAAAACGAACCACTCCACACCGTTACTTCACACACCATGTTCCGATGGATGAGCCACGTATTGCGCACGCCAACACACCGACTCCCTCGACGTGCATAGTTTTCGCTCCGGGGGTGGGATTGAAGGAAGGGGTGGCCAAATTGACTTGGTCAAGAGGAATGAAGGCCCTTAGTTCGAACTTGGCCTGGGTAAGAGCCTCTCGGCTCATTGCTTGGGGGCCGAAAGTTGATGAACATGGTTGGCTGGATACACTTGTTGACATGCTTAGGAGCCCACCTCATTGACATTCGTGTTATGAATATGTTTGCCTTCCCCATCCCACCCTCTAACCGCGATCTCATTTCCAGGAATAATTTAAATTTTTTGGGGCACCATAGCCGGTTGTTATCTCTCTGGAACGATGTCCATCCGTCACCGATAGCTCAGCTGGCGTGTACACGTTGAACGTGTTTTTATTTCGTTTCTTGAGTTGAGGTGTTTCCCACGTCTAGCGAACGTGTATATTGAGGAATGTGGTGCTTCAAGCTATTAACTCTTCCGTAAGACCTATGTGTCCGATTGTCAAGTCTCGCTTCTACAGTACACTTGTCTGCATTGCCGCTGTCAATTCCCATTATTGTTTTGATTGTTAATAACACAGTGAGAAAACTCAAACTGGTGACCGGAACATGTTTGAGTAACAAAATCCAGCTAAAGTGTTTGGTTCCACAAACAAAACCATAGAGGGAACTATGTTGGAGCCACATAGATTCCATCCCCAATCACTATGCATAAAACAGGTAATCAGAGCGATAATTCCGGAAAATGAAGAAAAGTGGCTGAAAGAAAGTTATCTAATTGAGACAGTCGGCAGTTTGATCTGGAAACGCAATATGGTCGTCACAACAAGTACGACAAAACAAATACCGACTAATACAGTGAAAAGGCGTAGTACTATTTGTTAGATACTCTTCAGTATAAACGCGGTGAGAGTATTGACCGACTGATTTAGGGAAAAAGGGTGTGATTTGAAGAAGGTATCGACTACACAGAAGGAATCCTCTGTCGCGCTGAGAGAGTCAGGAGATATCAAACAATAAGGAGTTCGCAAGGGTATGCACATTGTGCGAGCGATGCAACAGTCATAAACAAAGCCTAGAAACCTTCATCAATTGCCTAATGAATCAGCAACAGGTGCCAACTGCGCAAGCAAGAAGTGTGGAAATAATGCACCCGGTCAGCGAAAACAGAAAAGTGTATTACGGACATCGAGGGGTGGTTACGATGACCGCATCAGCACTGACCTAGTTGTGCGCATAAGCATGAGCACTGGTAAGCGCTCCAAACGGCATAAAAATTAGTTATACGATTTTAGTCATTTAATTTTATGGAAAGTGCTTGGAGCTTGAGTCAAGACAGTGAAAGTAGTTGACGTCAAAATAGGTCAGAGTGCGTCAAAATCACTGGAGCCTGTGACGAGAGATCCGGGTAATACAAGGTAACAGGTTAGCCACATCCAAAGTTATTCAGCATCTATGCCGTTATCCGACCACTCAAACAAAAAGTGGCGTGGCCAGGCTCGTCCCAAAATGGGAGCAGCCATTAGGTCCCTAGGAAGGCTCGAAGCCGCGCAGTCAGATTACAAGACAAGCTCGTTACCTTTAGGCTAAGGGATGACAACCTAGGCCCAGCAGTGCTGAGAAATAATACACACCGAGGCAGTAAACTGGATGGTATGCGATGTGCATGGTGGAACCGATGAAGGCGATTCGAGTTCAGCAGGAACTACAAGTGAGTCATCAGAAGGTATGTTGTCAAACACCAGACAATGAACTGGAGCGCTGTATGAACACACCCAAGAAAATCGATTTAGCGACTGCCCAAAGCACGTGTCGGATAACCTCGTGATTTGATTTTGCTCGGATATCGGAAACTCTGTGGACATTCATTAAATGTTCGACTCAGTCGAAGCTGTTAAAGGGCAGCAGTGATATTGGTAATCGCACCCAATGTACCTCGGTGCTCAGATAATAGCAAATTGACCCAAATGAACTGCATGAAAACAAACTTGAGGCAGACGGAGTGCGTCCGAGTGCGAACCGCCGCAGTGCGATGAGAGTGTCATTTTAGGGACCAAATACGACCACTAGCTATAGGTGCCTGCGTAGCGGTACTTGATGGAAGGACTGTGTGAGTAAATCGGATGTTGGCATTCGGTTCTGTACGGTTTACCAGCAGTGAAGTACAACGGAATAAGTTGCTTTGTCTCCCGTTCCCAAAAGAAGAACCACAATAAAAGAATGTAAGTGGGAAATTAATAGAGTCGTAAGACGGAACAGGTTGGAGTCACGAACTGGGGAACAAAAACAAGAGTGACACCGACCCAACGGCAGTGCCATATTCGATAAAGCGCCCAACCAACCATGTGACCGATCCCAGGAATACGACAAGAAACCAACTCAGCTTTTTGGTGCGTTCCTCCATGTTGCACCGTAATGTAATATAATGGGTACTTCGAGGTTTCAAACCACGCGAAGTATTAGCAAAAATTACAAACTGAGGAAATCGGAATGCAGGTACATGGGGCCAGCGAAGGTGATTCGAGTTCAACACTCCCTCCTCAAGTTCAGCAGCTCAATAACCGGTGTATAACGACAGAGGTTCGTGTGCATCTGAACTGTCTTTGGGATTTGAACCGTGTGCATCTCCCATGTCATGTGTGCTAACCGCCAACAACAAGTGTTTGCCACGTCTGCGTTTGTCCGGCTGAGGCCGGAGTGACCAGCTGAAGAATAAAATCCATGAAAATTGACCGAAAGACCGAGTTAGATGAGCAAGTGCCGGATTCCAGGATCGATCGGAAGTAGCTCAAAGTGAGGGGCGCTCTGAAATTCGATCTGATTTACACGGCTCTCAGCTCTTCCATACAAAAATTACAGTTTCTCTCGTCGACTATTTCCCACTAGCAGTTTACCTCCGGATATCGTACTGTTGTTCCTCCATATTGCTATTTAATACTGCCGCGCCGAAGTGAGCCAAAGAGTTGAATCCACTGCACTACTGAGAGCTACAAGTAACACTCGGGTACAGTGGCACATCGTGAAGTACACATTGAGAGGTAGAATTGTAGCAGCAGGTAGTGAAAACGGTGTGGTCATCAACAGTCCAGAGCACACAGCGCCTGTACATTTAGTGTACAAACACTGGAATAATGGTCAGCCGCGTAGGCTCTGTTGAGACTGCAAGAAGTGAGTCTGGCAACAGCATGTGCAATCTATTAAAATCTTAAGAAAGAATGCTTAAGGTGATATGGAAAGTAAACATATAGTTGGATTATTTTAAAGGTGCGCACGATGCCCTAGTCAGTTGGAGTTTTGAACCAAAAGGGAGTTGGATTTGAGAACGATAACTGGAAGTCGATTAGAAGCTAATATTTCGTGTTTTCAGGGAGCACAGATATTAACCAATTAACACTGGCACGTATTGGAAGACAATACCATAAAACCAGTCGCTATCTTAGTGAAAGGAACACTTAAGAGTCAGCTAAAACGGAACAACAAATTCGGAGTGATCAGAGTGTGGATATTAAAACTACTGAAGCGGATTTTGTAAGGACATGTAATGTGATACTTCAGCCTTCACACAATCGTTCTATTAATATATGCACTGATAACGATCCGGCAGAACAACCGGTAGGGAGTTGCCAACGGTTGAAAGATGTGATCAGTCGATGAGAGCGTAGCATGGGAAATTGCGATAGTATGTACTAACAATCGGATAACTGTGCCTGGCCGATCGGGTGAACTAAATCGCGCTGACCGAGTACGCAAAAGCGGGAAACGTGTAGGACACACTTGACATAGGAATAAGGTTAAAAAGTAACACAGAGCCAAAGCAGATATACAAGACGCTCGTCTGACATACCGCGTTATAAGCCGAAGATTTTCCCCTCTGGAAACACAGTCTTCATCCTCGATTGTAGTGGTTGTCACATTTGGTGAACGAAGACCAAGAAACAACAAGCATCCGACAGAGGCACATGCCAAGGTGCCACCAAACAACTGATGTCGTAGGATGCGGTCGATGGAAGAGATATTCGAAAGAGTGAAGTAGGTGTATAAGCCACCGATGACTTGCCTGAAGAGAAAACAGTGGGGTGCGGGAACACAGTCACATTTGAAAACAACGAGAAAGGTGGATGGATAGGAAAGAAAAGACAACTGTTCAGTGTGGCAAAAATAATTAGAAATATTGTTAGTGTAAGAACACATAGGCATTGCTTTTAAGGTAACGGTGTTGAATGTATCGGTGGTTCTGGAAGGTCGTAATGTCAAAAAAGAAATGTTGACAGAGTTCAAAAGCCAAAGTAATCAATAAAGCAGCGAACCGAAAAAAGAAACCACGAAATCTTCAAACCAATAGGGTGTACCAAAGTAAATACAGACAAGCCCGACCCAGATTTTAACAAAACTGTTGCTTGGAAATCAGTGCTTGCTTAACCGGAAGGTGAACATTGTTCAACGTAAAAGCCATAATTAAATTTGCGTCGAATTAATCAAGGAGTAGAAGATACGCATTGCACGAAAAACTAGGTGGTGACTCACCGCCGTTATCTGGAGCCGCAAAAGTGACGGTGAAAATATAAACGACGACGGGTTAGAGAACGGTGAAGCCGATGACAATTACTAGGAAGAAAGGTCAAGCAAATCGAGCCAGCGAATTTGTTGGCTACGAGCTACCAGTCACTTTGACGGACCTGTTCAATGGTTCAGTAGTAATTGAGTGGCCAGTGAAAACGTCAACTGCGGTTTGAAGCAAACACAAGAGATATGAGGAAGAAGCAATCTATTGTTCAAAAGCACTTGAGTGACCGCTGAGAGTGCCAATACAATGGAATGAGGTTCATTGTGTTATGGCACTATGGGAGGTGTAGATGCAACAGTTTCCAATCAAGATAAGTTTTTTAAAGATATTCATCCAAATAGTTCACAAGCTACATAGCACAGCCTAGTCCGGAAAAGCACCAGACGCATTTCGCCCTACTGAGGCTCGTCAGTGGTGCGCATTCCCTCGGTCCCCCACTGGGGATCGAACCTATGACCGCTAGAGGCAGATGCCAACTAGCCAGCAGCTTAAGCCACTGGGCCATGGGGGAAGTTGGCTGAGCTACATAAGTTGCAAGCTGACTGGGATAAAGCACCAGCTATCTTCAACTGTCATTAGCACTGGCTAGCCCGCGAGGTGATGACTAGACACTATACCATAGCATACGAGACTAGGAGAGGCCACTTTTATTTTATATTACTCCGTATGACGGTGTATGACGGGAATCACCACAAAAACTATCAGTTGAGGATGAGAAAGCATATGATCAATAAAAACAATCGAACGCACAGAAGCTGACATTGCATCGTCTGCGCGGTGGATCCTGAGAATGCTGGGGTTGCGGATCAATGGAGTGGAGTTGTGATTGAACTGATAAACATACTACCGCCTAGTGCACAATGTACTGCTTGGATGTTGGATAGTATTAGTAGGTCAGTACTTTGTGCCGTGTGCGGACTGTGATAAAATATTCACAGTAGATGGACATCCTTTGATAGGTTTAGCTACGGAAAAAAAGGATATTGCAGGATGAGAATACGTACACACATGTTGAAATACAAAAGACAACGTTCAAAGCTGCTGAGGAACCCGCCTTTTAAAGTGTACCAAAGAAAAACGCCGACAACAAGGTACAAAGCAGTGTGACAATTCCTTCGAATTTGAACGATGGAGGGGTGACACTTAGGAGTATCCCATGAATTGGAGCAACAAGGTAGCTTGCCGTTTTTGGATACACCCATCAAAAGACGAGTCGAAGGTACACTGCATCGCACCGTTCATTGCAAGGCGATCTGGAATGGGCAGTACCTACATTGTTCCAGCTTGTCTCCGGTCGCATACAAGCGCCGCCTGGTGAAAACTATTTTTTTACACAGCCAGGCAGGTTTGCAGTCGCGAAATGTTAAAAGTCAAAGAAGAATTTCTACAGGGACCTTTTGTGTCAAATAGGTATACTAAGTTCATCCAAATCCACCGCAGGTTTTCCAAGAAAACAACTGCTAACTGCAAAGAAAAAGGATATTTATTTGTTCTCGCCGTTCAAGGGGAACGAGGTGGCATATAACTGCGGACACAAGCTCCAGTCCGCCCTAACGCGAAGCTATACGAGTGCCTAGATGTGACTCATGTATACCAAGCGGCCTTGTTTTTCAGGCAGAGCAGCTAAGCAGGCAGTTTGGCCTCTTTAGATATTTGTCAGTTCCCCTGCAGTTGCGATGACAATTATATAGAACGAACTGGGTGTTAGTTTAGAGGATAGCTCAATAATTTCCAAACTGAACAATTGCCCGTGGTTGGGAAAAGTGATGAAGCAACAAAACGGAGTGGATCCGAAGATGAACCGGAGATCGGTATCATCCATCACCAAGCAGCTCATGGTAACTCGTCATAGTGCGAACCCGGAGACCGCGTTCAAGGTGTGCAACAAAAACCCGATAACGTTGGCAATCAGTGAGGCGTTGCTAATTAGACCCATCGAGCTGTGTTTTGTGCACATAAATTCCCGGGGCAATTAATTAATTAATTTAATTTAATTGTTGTGATCTGAATGATAATCTTTTGATTGGTATGTATTTGCTTGTATTGTGTTTGCGACTGATGAGAACAATCTTAAGGTTGACATATCGTCACCGAAGACACCTTTCTGATTTGAAAAAATGGTTGTACAATCAGGAGTAGGAAAGTGCGTGAAAGGGCCAGATAGTTTCGTACTCTCAGAGATTTAGAGCTCTCCTGCTTGAAAACCTAATCATGGGAAGCAACCGGTTGTATAACCTCACGGTTCAATTGGTGTACAGGGTGAGTGGCAGGCTTTGCTTATGAAGACAAGGGAGCAGTACTTGGTGCTCAATAGTTTCCAAACGCTCGCCTTTAGGCCAGACAGACGTTGGTCAAATGGGTGCAAAATCCGCCAACTTCCGAGAACGATTGGTTGTTGCAGGTGCGTAACATACTATGATAAAGAAACAAGTGAACTATTTTAAAATTTCAAAGGTTGTATGTGACAGACCTAAACGGGGATCTGTAGTCACACATCAGCCATCGCAAAGAGGCTGGACCTTACCGTGGTGCGATGGTTTGCGTGCCTCAGAGATCCATTGAGCTATGCTGGGTGGTGCTTTTTTTGCACCTTCAGAGGCACTCATACCAGATTGGTCAGTGGTTAGAGGCCAGACAAACTCAACCTCCTGGTCCTCCAGGTTGGGGGTTGGAATGGGGGTGGCTCCTTATTTCATAAAATGGGCTCTGTAGTCCAGTGCCAAAACCCGCTGCGTTGCGGTAAGGTTTTTGAACCAAAGGCTTTGGTTGAGAACCCTAATCGTTCTCCTGTCTAGGCCTGGGCAACCTGACAGCATTCTGCACACGCAATACAATGAACCTTTCCTACAACAATTTCTTGATGCTCTGGCCGTCGCAGAGGATAATAAACGGCGCCCTATCTGCTGCATCGAGCAGGGTAGATAGGGGTATGGATGCTACTGCTCAGGCCTTCCCGTCTTCTTATACCCCCTCTTGCGCTTCGTCACCCTTATCGTCCCGCTCTAAATTTACTTATGTCCCCCCATTTTCAATCCCCCAATTCTTGGCCCTCCCCCAGCTTACTTCAATAGTCGCTTGTCTTCTAATTTGAAATCACACACAATCGCAGGGCCTCGCTCCAATCCAGTCGACAAGTCCATGTTCAACCAAGCGGACAATGTCTTTTGCGGCACAGTAGCTGAGGTGTTTTCCACCTCCAGCTAACGTGTAATGATGATAATGATGAGTCACACACCAGAGCTAGACTAGCTCCCACTGTCTGACTTAGTGGGTCAGAGGCTACTAAGCTAAATGCTTCCATCTTACCCACTACATTGTGGACGCCTAGAAAGAAAGCTACCTCCGGAGGAATAAGCAGTTGGCAAGTATCATCTGTGTACAAGACCCCGTCACCAACTCTTTCCTCGCGATGTCCTTCCATACACCCAAAGTTTCTTCGCCCCGGTTAATGAGCAAGACATCACCGCTGACTTCGCAACCGGTTACACTGATACATGTAATTCGTCCTACAAACGTATAGTCGCACTGCCTATGGGCTCGATCAACATCTGCAATCTGAGTCAAATCGATCAACAGCCAACAGTAACCCTCACTCCACACTGTGTGCAGTGCTCGCGCAACGAGCGTACAAGATAAGAAGACAGTAACGAATGTTTGACTTAGTTTCTGAATCAATGGAAAATGACCACTTTGTATCTCTGACGAAACTAAATAGTAAACTCAAGATATTTATGGTATCTCGACTAACTATGTCGCATCAGCTTCTTTCGGAGTGCAATTGCTAACATGTAAAAAACTGACAAACATTACGTATGAGACGACATAATTCTCCTTGGTTTGTACGCAGTGCATACGCAAGCATTATTGTATAGGTCAGTACGTTGGACTGAAAGTTTAGGTACGTGCTTTGCACTTTCAAAGTGCAAAGTATTCTTACAGAACTGCACAGACAAGCCATCGGTCTAGTTGTCTCTGAACAGCTACTGGAAGTGGTGGATCGGTTTAAGTATCTTGGTAATTGTCACCTCTGGTGGTCACATAATTGAGGAAGTTAGTTCATCTATCTACAAAGCCCGTGTGGCTTTTCGAAAACGCAACCATCTATGTAGACGGGAGATCAGCTGCGATAATGCCGGTGCAAGTGTATAAATTAGAAACCTGTCCACTTTGAACGCATTCGATGAGTGCCCGTATGTGATACCCGGTGTTTGCGGAGTATCGCTCACAATGCTGAGATCTACCAGTTGGCGTTTACCAAGAAACCCACTGGTGCTTCAATGGAACATCTGTTAAACATGGACCAGTTATGCTGGCTAGGGCATGTGCTTATTGGTCACCCTTCTAGGGGTGCATTATATGTTGTCGCTGCAGAAATTTAGGTGAAAATTACCAATCGATGGAGTGGCATAAAGGCATGAAGAAAGTGACGAGGTACGTGCCGGCTCGATGGATGGGCCACATCAATGGTTGGAGACTTAATCGAACATGGCGCAGTCGTGCAGTCAGTGGTGCTCCGGCATTCGGTCTCTTGCATCTATATGTAAACATTCAATCCCGAACAATTTGGTTGACCTTAATTCCTTTTTCTTCGTGTTTTCCCTGCGTTCTTTTCATTTTCCTCAGTACGCTTGGCTGTCGTTAGTGTGGAGATGCGAGCCGTGGCAACTGGACTCACCGAGCTTCCTTACTCGGATAATAATTGTTCTACGGAACTGAACTAAACTAATGGAGAGGCTTACGGATGTTCCGCCGTCATTTATTCCGATGGCATGCAATAAACATCTCTAGAAGTGTAACTAAGGGATTACTGCAGTGGGAATAAGGCGGCAGAAGGTAACGGACTTCGTCCCCCTAACAATGGGAACGACGAAGATGTAAACTGGATAGCGTGACGGTGACGCCTAGGAGTCAGAACCTACAAGAGAGTCGCCGTGACCCCTAGGCTCGTCTAGGTTGCAACGTTCCCCGACATGATGAGTATTCAACATGCACACCTACAGCAAAACGGTGGACTTTGACATCAATTACTCATACAAGACCTAAGTAAAGTCAAGCTCGTTCAGTGTTCACATCGATGTAGGGTGCGCAGCAGGGTACACGCACCAAAAGAACCTATGAGAAGACTCGTGTAAGATCTCTGTACCTATCTGAATGTGGTAATCCTTACAACTTAAGCACCAACCCGTGAACATATACGCCCCCTAACAAGTGCTCTGGATACTTGATGCTCAGACCTTCTTGCTTCAGGTGGACAAACAGATAGCGGCGTACCACAAGTAAACCAATGCGCAAAAGATAAGCGGACACGCTTTTCCAACGGAATAAATATCAACGGTATCAGTTAAATAGCTAACGCAGCCTATTATTCCGCATATGGAAACATAGAAATCGATTTACAGGGAAATGTAAGTACCGAATGAAAGGAAAAGCCATGTATACTGATGTGAGTTACATAATTTGAAGGCAAGTTGAAGGTGTAGAAGTTTTGAGGAGATCAAATAAACATATATTGGGGATTTCGCTCCAGTCGTGACCACACAACATGCACGATGTTAAGTAGGATGCAGGCCGCGAAACAGAAACGGGATGAGGCAGAAACTGGATACGACACATCCAAGTTTTGAAATTGGGCAACATGTAATTTGTCAAAGAAGAAAAATGATTTACAAATGAGATGACAACGCTCCGGAAATAAGGGAGAAAAGCTGAAGGCAAATGGGTAAATAGACTTGTGTGCCGAAATACGTGGGGGGGGGGAACCGACAAGGAATACGCGAAGGTCCCCTGACCCGAATCTGGTTAAATGGGTGATAATTGCAGGCGGATGATGTTTCGGAAAAAGGACAGTCAGCGGAGAGTGTGGGAGATACATAGTGTGATGCGGTTAAATGGCAGTTCAGGCGACACGGGTATGGAAAAGCCCCAAAGCAATGGGCATTGAAATTTTGTCCCCGGATGCTGAATGAACTGGACCTAAAGATGATACCGTGAAAAGTGCCGCCTAACGGAGGATTGACTAATCCAGCTGACGGAAGTGGGAATGAACTGTTCGGAAATCGGTCGATGGTAGAATAACGGTTCAAGAAACGGTACTTACGAGCTCTGGAAAAGACCCCAGAATATGCTGAAGTACTGGTTCACGTTTGTTTCGTCGGAACATTCCGTGAGCAATGCACCCTGAGCTGTCCAGAGAACTGAAATGGAGCAAATGGATTAAGCGAACGGCCGATCAACATACGACAGCAAACCTGCAGCCCCGCACCCACTGACGATTGATCCGAGGTAGATGCTCCAAGCGCGAGGTTCTATGAAAGTGGCAATGAAAGCGCTAAAGACATCGGCACAGGTGAAGCAACGCACAACCACTTACACATAACAAACGGAGCCGGTAAACATAGCGTATTTTGTTCCCAAGAGCATCACAACAACAGCGGCAAACCAATTGAAAATGGAGAAGGCAGCATATAGAATGGATAGACTGCGGATGGGAATGGAGAATGTGTGCAACGGCCAATTCAGTTACCTGACGTATCCTTGTCCCACATCTTCCGTTGTCTCCCTGGCAGCTGCCTCTAAAACGTTTTGCTGTGGAGTGAAATGAATCAGAAAAATAAAATTAGACTTTAAGGTATGAGGATGTCCTTCGGAAGCATCGGAAGAGAGGTAGAGATATTAGGCCGTAAAAACTCAAGATGCTGGTAGAAATAAAATACGCCGTATACGTCAATCTTCCGGAAAGCGTGAATAGCATGATAGACAAAAAGAACAGTTCGAAAATGAGGAACAATTTAACTTGGAAGAATAGACAACAATAGAACCAAAAGCGATAGATACTACGAAGGTCGAGGACTTGAGAAAGTTGCAAATGTCTTCGGCGGGATCGGTGGCCTAAGTAACAGCAGACGAAAAACGCGTCAACATCTGTCGAGCACAATCTCAACAGTTAGCTAAAGATTAAGCTGAAGTCTGCCAAGAAGATGGACTCTTTTCATAGGATAAAAGTCTGCATCTTGAAGATATGGTAAATGAAGCTGAATGAGGCATATACGTTTCAATTGTTCATTTGTATTCCGAGCTTGGCAGTTTGGTTATAAACGTTCGACCACCATACGAAGTGGCATCGTCAGTGCAGTGAGATACGACGTACGTCAGGAAACCTTTGTATATGCGACGCGCATAGTTCACTACATCATTCAACCGTCTGTTCGGTCGCCAATGAACTGTGAAAAGATCCACGAAAACCGATGGATATAAATGATGTAAATGGCGGAAAGGCACTGAGACCGGGAAAGCACACGAACGTAATAACAGTAATACCGATTCAGTTTCAACCAATAAAGTTTGGTGTGTGCAACGTGGTGCCGGGACATACGCAGTCGAAAAACACTGATTTAAGAAGCAGGGACAAAGATTAATGGTGTATGATGGAATAGCCAATATTCAGAAAGGAAGGAACTAATGCAAGAGTACTAGTGACTTCATGATCACGCAATATTCGATGGAGAATCCAACCACTGATGTGGTGTAACCCTAGAAACCCATCTAGGAAGACGACAGGCGTCAATCCGGAAATACCTCACGGCGAGTTTCTTCATGTCCCTTTGACATGTCAATGACTGACCATCAGGGGGTTTTACTCAATTAGGCACGAAGTGTGCAGACAGTAGACGCAGAAACAAGTGGCTCGCAGGTCTTCGGAACATGCGATCGAGCTACCGGGAGATGGTTCGAGTTCAACAGGGATTTCAATGAGTCCCCGGAGGATGTCGTCAATTTCAGGATCAGCCATTTCGTTTCACAGGCATGAGTGAAACTTCGAGGGCATCGAGGATCAGACACATTCAGTTGTTCCATTGAATGCATCCCAGCAACTGATGGACCAGATAGTCGTGCCACGAATCTGGAAAATCGCCGGACAGTTGTTTCGCACCATTGGGGCACCATGCGAAACTGAACCCACGAGCACTAGCAGGTTATTCTAGCAGCTTATGCCAATGAGTCATTAGGGACGACGACAGACTATAATGATTTACGATCCAACCGCTACTTAGCACAACCCATCCCCCACTGCTATCTAGGTTACTACCCCTGCAGAGAACATTGGCTGGCCGCCGTCAGGTTACGACTTCCACTAACAGCGGACAAGTACGCATAGCATTTGAAGGCTGTTAGGGTGAATTTCCATTACTAATGAGAGGATAATTAAGAAAATTTCAATGATTTAATAGCCTCAGTGAACAGCGGTCAGCTTTCAATTTCAAGAGTTAATAATAGCTATACCGTAGAGTAGTAAGGCTTTCTTCTAACCGGTGACCCAAAACCTCACTGAGGTGATGAAAAGCCACGGATAATTTAGCAATGCGTACAGCAACCTCAGTGAGATGACCGAGATGATGCAGCTAGTAAGACAGGTAAACGGATCCGCAACCTCGAGTAGCTGTGTAATGATGGCGAAGACGAGAAGAGAGTCAGCCAGTACTTAGTAGCTTGAAGATGCAAAACACGCGGAAACACGAGACGTTACAAGTCAGCCTAGGAAAAAGGCTGACTGGCTTGCCGAATAATCACATCGTGGTACCAGCTGTGTGGTTCGGGATTATCCTGTTCAAGCGAACGTTTCAGCCGCAGTGTTTCAGGATATGGTGCGTATTCGCCTGGCAAGCGTTCTCTTCATAAAAAGCAACATGCCCGTTTAACAACACTGTGACGTAGCGAATGTGACTCGCCACTAAATAAGCTCACTGCACCTTGCCTCACACTGAGGGGTATAGTAATTCAAGGGTGTGTTGGGTCCCTGGTCCTTTGCGGATCTAAAGACGCATGAACCACTTGAAATAGTTGAGAATATTCGTAGCTCGGGATGTGGATGTGGGTATCGGACAGCAGCGCAATACCCGCATGAACCACTTGTCTGGTGACCTGATCCCAAGGGGTTGCGACGCCTTCATATCGACTTGCTACCTTGTAGGCTAGATCCCTGGTCACAGACCCGGAGTGGTTTCCCCCTAAGACAAGGACGACGGTCTGTGCACCTCATTGATCCACTGAACTATACGGAGTAGTGCACCCTAGCACTTTGAGAGCTACTCCTACCAGATTGGGCAAGGATCAGAAGTCCGAGTAATATAATCTACTGGTTCTCCAGATTAGGGCTGGAAATGAGACAGCGTCCACTTCTAAAAGATTGATTCGTTTTTACCTCTGGGCTGCCTTGCTCGTAGGCATTTGAGATAAAGGCTTTGGCTGAGGACCCTAATTGTTCTCGTGCTAGGTTCGGGCGACCCGGCCGTATCTCAGCCCACATACAACCATTGCTATTTTACCAAACGTTCGCACATCCTGCATCGGCCGACGCACAAGATGGTAACCTGAGCTCTTTAGAAGCGCTGCTAAGTTGTAATATGGACAAATCGGCAGGTGGCCGTCCGGCTTGCAATGCTTAAGCCACTGGTTCAAATCCGCGTATGCAGCAGGCGTCCTCGCAGTATACTCAGCCCACGCGCGACCGGAAGTGGTCGCGTGCCAGTGAAGCCTCGTTACAGTGTACCGGCAGACTGCTGATGACATTCTTCTTTCAAATAAGGACATAACTCGGACCGGACGGATAACGTCGAGCGTCTATTGCAACGGTGCGGAGCACCTCTTCCAGACATAGTGGACGCTGGATTGCAACTTAGTGGCTATCTACAGCTGGCCAGCTATGTGTCGAAATTGAACATATTACCATAAGTTACTGGTGGCGTGGTTCCATACCGCAGTGTAGCTACTTCTGGAATATTTACCTTGACCCTGATCATGATTTGGTACTCAGTCGTTTTACAATGTACTTTACTGGAAGGCGTACCAAGCGTCTCTCTCGATTGACAATGAGAACCTATCTCAGCACTCAGTTAGGTATCGCTACCAGGATGTCCTGAGTATAAAACTTCCGCTTTCGTCCTAATGACATAGAAATTCAGTAGAATAGGATATGGGCCGCCATACACAATGCGAGAGCCACGGCTTGCGGTGCAATCGGTAGTACCCACAGCAGGCTAAATATACGAGGTCGGTGAACCTGTTGGAATCCATAAAATACCATTCACTGGCATTGATCACAATGTTACCAGACGGAATATTGGGATCGAACTAAAGCGGAGTCCGCGTACAAAAAAGGAAGTCTGACAGTAGTGGTAATAGTATTCTCAACAACCTAGTAAATCGACAGAGAGCAATCAGAAATCATGGTGATTAGCGGATAAGAGGTAGAGTCGCCGTGTCGTAACCAACGTGGAACAGTACTTGAATATGAATAACTCACTTCAATTACTGTGCGCAGGAGGAAAGGTACATTTTTTAATATTTCCCAAACTCAATCATTTACTCTTTTTAATCAATAGGCAATGAGTTTCTGCATCTAAGCAACTACGTACACCGTATATATATATATATATATATATATATATATATATATATATATATATATATATATATATATGTGCCCCATGCTGGGGCTGATGTTGCATTCATGGTGCTTCCTCACCGCAGTTGGGCTAAACCAACTTAAACTGCGTCTTTTTAATGCGGATAAAATTCGTTACATTTTATTTGGTTTGTTCTGCGTACCTGATAATCTTCTCCCAACTTGCACACGTCGCTCATGCAAATTGTGGTAAACTTGCGTAATTTTATCGCGTGGTATTTTTTAAATAACTCGTACATTTTGCACTTATCACGGATTCACATATAACCAATTTCTTCTATATGCTCATTTAGCGAGTATTTATGTCGTCATACGCGTTTACTTTATTCGATATCGGCATTTTGAGTGACTGGCTGTTGTTTGACATCCCAGGCATGACTGCGCTTGATGTGCATGTTGACAAAGTGCCTACCTGTCTATTACCCACTACCTCGTCCATACTGGCTCTAAGAGACAGTTGGTCGATGCTGGAGGGGACGGGGTGCACGGTCCTTGTGGCCGTGCTAGGCGCGAAGAGCGGTTCCATGCACTCATCGTGGTGCGGACTACGGTCCAGCCACCGCCTTGTGTGCGCTTGATTCCTTAAATACAGCGTGCTTATGTTTGCATGTGAGGGAGCGTGGGCCGACTCCGTTGATGAAACGTGGCTCCCATCCACATGCCTCCCGGTCTTATTCCTTCGGGTTTACACTGGATATTGGATGTGTGGATGAAGCTGTGGGTGGTGCAGCGCAAGTCATCCTGTGATGGGAGTATACACTCGAACGAACGTGCGGTGCCAGCCCAGCAAGGAAGCCGTTAGGCTGCCGCAAGCAAAGGCGGCAACCGATTGGACGTTCACACGTTTCTCGCATGCACGCTGATTGGCAAACAGTTGGACGCATTGGAGTGAGTTTGTTTGACTGAATCAAAGGAAAAATGTCATGCATCAACAAAGGTCGTTAATTATGGATCCAACCAGCTGTATATACCGATATGTTTCACTCGCCCTCTGTCTCCGTTTTCGCCTGGTCCTGTTGTTTGCAGAATATACGTTTTGTCCCTGAAGGACCGACTTTTCACATGGTGTCAGAGAAGGAGAAGAACATTAGTACCACCCAGACGATGATTGGAGCTGCACCGG